GGGTGTGCACCAGTGGGTCCTGAGACTGAATTTAGCACTTACATCATCAGGCTTGGTGGCAAGTGCCTTTACTCACGGAGCCATCTTGCAATTCCCTCCCCTCCCACTCCTTTTTTTTTTTTTTTTTTTTTTTGAGATAAGGACTATTTGCAGGTAGTCTTGAACTTTCAATACACTTGCTTTTCTCTTCTAAGTGTTAGGTTCTATTCATACACCACCCAGCTTTTGAACTAAACCTCCTCCCCCCCAGGCAATGAAGCTGGGTCTACCATCCAACCCTGGTTTTCCTTTTTTTTTGGGAGGGGGACACTGGACTCATTAACTATGGTTTTAGGTGGGACATTGGGTTTCATGGAGAGGAACAGAACAGCATTGGTGAGGATGGGGGGAGGGGCCACAGGCCTGAGTTTCAGTGTTTGGGGAAGATGACCCACCAGCTTTCATATGGCTTCTGAGAGGTCCTTCCTGCCTGCTTGGCTTGACAGCGACTCCAGCCTCCTCACCTTGGTATGACAGTGATTCTACGCTCCTCACCTTAGACTTGTTGCCCACTAATGGTTTCACATAGCCCAGTAGCCTAGGCTAGCCTCGAATTCACAAAGTCCAGAATGACCTTGAACTTGTGAACCTCCTGTTCTAGTGTAGGGATCGCAGGTATGTATCCTTATATGTGTTTCATACAGTGCTGGAGGTAAAAAAAAAAAAAAAAAAAAAAAAAATGGAGCTTCTTTCACAACAGGCAAGCACTCTACCAACTCAGCCGCATCCCCAGCCTTGTGGACACGCTCCCGAGACCACTGACTGCAGTGTAGGAGGAAGGAATGGAGAGCTGTGCTTTCTGAGAGTACCTTCAGTGCCAAGCTGTGGCAGGGCGCGCTCCCACGTGATCTGAGTCTCAAGAGAGTGCCGCGAGGTACCAGTGTAGTTGCCTGTCTGGGAACACACACATTCATGCACGCACTCTCACAGGAGCTTGGCCATCTAACCGCCTCCCATGGAACTCCTGCAGACCGTGGGGCAGGAGGACCCGAAAGCGCCATTTCAGCTCTGCACTCAGGCCAGCACTTGCCGTCTGCCCTTGGCTCTCCAGTGACTGCAGCATTGAGGGTGGGGAGTTGTTAGCCATAACCCTGACTCTCTTTCCGAGGGGCCTGTTTCTACTCTGAAACCTGTGTGTGCGTGTGCACACATGTTCGCGTGTGAGCGGCATATATGCGTGTTTGGACATGTAGGCCAGAGGACAATATCAGGTGTTGTTTCTCAGTCCATCCATCTAGTTTCTTTCTTTCTTTTTAGACAGGGTCTCTCACCAGCTTGGAGTTTGACAACGAGCCTAGGACGGCCAATGAGTGGCCTCTCTGAGGTCCACCTCTCTCTGCCTTCTCAATACTGGGATTACAGGCCAATCTTCCATGTCTGACATTTTAAACAGGTTCTGGGGCTCAAACTCAGGTTTTCAAAGCTTTTGAGGAGAGCACTTCATGAGCTGAGCCCTCTCCCCAGCTCTCCTTTGGAACTCCGTTATTTGGTGTCAGGCTGGGGTCATCTGCCTTGCTGATCCCCTTCTCTTTTTCCTCCCATTTGCAGCGTTTCTGAGCCTTGGTTTCCTTGTTTGTCAGGCAGGAAATGTGCCAGGGACACAGAGTTTACGGGAGACAAAGGAGAGAAGGTCAGCCATGTGACGTGGCTCAGTAAATGGCCCAGTCATTCCTTTGCCACAGTTATAAACCTCACTCCTGTCGTGTCCAGGATTCCTCATCTCTGGGCTGGGCCATCTCCTGCTGCTTGTGCACCTGGGGAACTCAGTTCCGTCTAAGCAGTTTGCGCCTCCACCCCGTGGCTGTTTGGCTTTCAAGAGAGCCTTTGCTCTGCAGGAAAGCTGTCCTCTGCTCTCTCCCCACCTGTTCTAAACTTCATTCCCTTTGAGCTGAGTGTGTTTGAAAGGAGCAGTCGGGGGAGAGGGGGATCGGGAATGAGGGGTGCTTAAGACCTTGGGTTTGCCGGACGTGTGGCTTGGGTGTGCTGGCACAGGTTGGGTTGGTTGGCCAGTGAGCCAAGTGCCAGTGTTTGCTGTGTGGCCCAGCAAATGGTGTAAATAGTCTTGAGGATGTGCCCCGGAGGGAGCTGCTGTTTGGGGGATACCCTGCTTCTCACTTCTCTCACTGCAGTGTCTAGAATTCTCCCAACCCAGACCTCAAGCTCTCCCAGGAGAAGGGACCCAGGCAATAGTTTCTGAAGATTCCCGTGTGATTCCAGTATCCAGTAGAGATTAAGGCAGGACTCCTCTAGCCTTGGCCCTGAGGCTTGGACTCGGCCAGTCCCCTCTGCATTCGGTGTGTGAGCTTTTCCTTAAGCTCCATCTGCTGTCAAGGTCTCCGGAAACAGGCAGCACAGGTGTGTGGCAGCACAGGGCTTGTCTCTAGTTGTGTTTCATGGAGCAGCTCAGTCAGAATCATCACCAACGGGGTGGGGAGGGGCGGGGGGAGGGCACCCCGTACCGTCCCCGCCTTCCTCATCACCAGCGCCCTCTGCAGTCTCCCACCTGTGCGAGCTTGCTTTTGCCTTTTACCTTCTCCTGTGGTGACCGCCCCCAAACCCAGCCACCCCCTTTCCTTCACTAACAACCCTTTTGTTGTTGGGAGTTTTAGAGGGTTGTGTTAAAAATAACAATAACCATCACCCCCCCCCCCCCACACACACACACACACTTCCTGGTAAGCAGAGGTGGCCAGGGAGCTTTATGAAGTTTGAACTTTCTGGAAAGCTGTTAAAAGCTTGGCTATCTGGGGTGCTTTAGTCCTTACTATCTTTCTCTCCTGCAGGGAATGTGAATACGCAGGACGGTGTTTCTGGTAGCCACATTGAGACAATGAAGTCTTCTAACATCGAGGATAGAAGCCACATACTCAGGATGGCAGTGTAAGCATATAGAAGAGTCTTAAGATTAGAAAGGATGACAGATGTAGCCCATAGGCAAATGACAGTTTACAAAGGGGGACACCCTGTTAATGGATGAGGTGTTTAATTTTAATTGAGCATGATAATTAGGTGAGCCAAAGGGGCTTTTGATTGCCAGACTTCAATACTTTGATAGCTGGACCTTGATAGTCTCAGGTGGAGGAGGTGGCCAACTAAGGGAATAGATCTTGGTGGCTAGCTTTAGGAATGTAATCTAAGGGTTTTTTTTTTTTTTTTTTTTTTTTGTTTTGTTTTGTTTGACAAGGCAGAGGGAATGGGGAAGAAGAGCAAGGCCCGCCAGAACCTGCTCTCCCTGCTCGAGCTGGCTGGAGTCCCTTCAACCATCATGGCCTAGACTGCCTGGACCTGGAGTTCATGTTGCGTGAAGGAAAATTCAACCACTCCCTTGGCCTTCTAGTCACGGAATTCAGTTTATAACTGATGCTCTCATAAAGCAGTGTCAGCAACCACTAACCTCACCTCTTCCACCCGCCAGTGAAGGCAGAGGACAGCTTTATGGAGTTGGTTCTCTCCTTCCACCTTTTGGTGGGTTCCGGGAATGGGATTCAGATTTGACTGATAAGGGCCTTTTCTGCTGAGCCGTCTCAGCAACCCCACACTTAACCTTTAAACAATGAGTTAGTTGCCAACATTTTAAAATGTGTTGCTTTCCCATAAGGACTCTGCTTTTTTTGCAGAGTCTGGGGAGGCAGAGTCTTCATTTGTACTCCTGATAATCTGTTGGAGTTCAGGTGCGGTGGCCTCTGAAAGGCCACCCCACTCATCACCCAGTGTCTCTGAAGATAGCACACCCTGGAAATGCTGATAAAACATGCCAGACATGCCTTTCTTCTCCTCAGTCTCCTAATTCAACATTCAACACATTGTAATCTCTCTCTCTCTCTCTCTCTCACACACACACACACACACACACAAAACTGGGCATACACTTTTGAGAAATGTGGAGAAATCAGCCTCCTGAATGTCAGAAAACAGTTGATGTAGCTTCTTCCTGGGGTTGTCTTAACTTTTCCTCAGTGCTGCCTTGTGGCCTCCTGGGAGGGAGAGTAGCATGCTCTGCCCCTGTGGGGACAGCGTGATTGGGGCACGGAGACCCCAGAGGGTAGTTATCCTGGGTATTGAATATGGATTGCTCTCAGCAGCTCTTATTGCCACATTGTGAGCTGAGTTTGGTTGGAAGCCTGACTTGTCTCAGCTATTCCACTAGCTCAGTGAGACAAGGTGGAGATTCTCTGAACTCTGGGAACCCTGCCCAGCATGTGCACCTGGTGTCAACGGTCTGACTCCACTCAGGAGGGCCACTCAGGAAGCCTCAGCTGCTGCAGCAGCAGCAGACAGCTGGGCGACCCCTGTGGGTGAGCAGCATGGGATCCCTCAGCCTTACATCCCTGCTTCTCCTTCTCTCCATCAGGACCCACTCCTGGAAAATTCAAGGCCCCTGCAGCTTTTGTAAACACAGGTCTCTGGGGGCTTGGAGAAGAAAGACAAATACTGTTTTGACAATGGATACTATACAGCTCTGAATCTCTGAGTTACACACTGGGACAGTATGTTGGGTCTGGAATGAGCTACAGGAAATGGTGTGAATGCTCAGTAAGAAGAATGACGTGAGATGAAGCCAGGAGAGTTAGGGGGAGCCCTTCTGTGGGTACAGGAAAACACCACTGTATACTGGATGGTGACTGGGCGACAGGCCTCAGCCCTGGGAGCAGGTCCCACTCTGCTTGAGGCCTGGCTTTTGTGGGAAGCAGGACGGGGTTCCTGGGGCCAACAGCAGTAAATGTTTGTGAGGCCCAGTGGGCTTGTGGGGACCTGTGTGGTGGGCGGGCTGGCAGAGGCTGGCTGAGGAGAGGCTGCTGGCTTATGTGGGTTGCTCACTGCTTCTATTAAGACAGTGCTTAGAGCCATCATATTGCTTCTCATAGGACATGTATTTATCGAGTGGCCAGGAGAGAAAGAGAACTTAAAAGATCTAAGGTCGGTAACGAGGCTTTATTCCATGTAGATTTCTGAAGGCAGACTTTACATTCTAGCTCACTGGAAACTAGGCTACTCCCCACAATTTCAGCTCCTTTTAGAAATGGGAGTAACATTACTTGAAGTCCAAGTTCAAATTTTTACTGACTTTTGAGAATGTGGCCACACACCCTTTAATCTTAAAATTCTAATCCATTTTATTCAAACATTAGATAGGCATCCCCAAGCAGTCCAACTTGAGAAAAACCACTTTCATGACTTATTAATGAGCCAGGCATAATTTTCATAGGGTTCATTCATTCAGATTTATTACAGAACACCATTTAATAAGAAAAAAATTAAATGGATCAATTGAATTCAAGTGCTTCTGAAAAGGGGACATTCAAGTTCTCTTTTGATTAATGCTGGCCTTTATGGGCTTTCACTTTCACCGTCTGGTTACTGCATTTATCAAATACCAGGTTTCCCTTAAAAAAAAAATCAGCTGTAAATCCTATCTCCCATGCCTGAGCTGGCTTTTCTGCTCTAGGCATGCCCCTCTCACTCCCTGCCATGGTCTAGCCACGAGCTGTTCTTGGGTGAGGAATGGAGAGGGCCATCAGGGCTTCCCCTGCCTTCTCTCTGAGGCTCACTGCGACTGTCTGTATCCCCCAGTCTGGAGAGGCTAAGCCTGCCACACGGCTCTCTCTGTCCTTACTGCCCCTTCAAGCTGGCACCAGTACCAGAAGACTGTTCCGTCCCACCTACTATGCTAGTCTTGTATCGAAATCTCTCCTAAGTGAAGTGTGCCCTGCACTTCATGCTGGAATCACTACAGATGCAAACATGAGTGCCATGAACAGTGATGATATAGAAAGAAGACTGGAGAAAAAAAATAAACAAACGAACTGGCCCAGTGGAAGCATCAGAGTGGAAAGCCCCAGCCTGAGGTGTCCCAAGGGCCATTTTAGCCGAACTTTCACTGGGTTAGCTCTTTTGGGTTCAAAGTCCCAGGCTTCTGCATGACAGGCAGAGAACACCCTAAAACTGCATTGGGTTCCCAACGATAGCAGTCATGGATTGGGCAATGGGTGATCTGAAGGTCAAAGGACTTGGCGTATGGTGGCCATTGGCCACAGAACCAGTGTGGCTCTGACTGGCGCATTTCCCACCTCTTACGCAGGCCCGGAAAACGACGAAAGTCCATGTAGAGGGATGTATCCCTTGGGACACTTTCCCAAGCAAGCAATGTATGTTGAGCTACGTAAGCAGTCCATTTTGGGGGGCAGGGCGCGTCTCCACTGTTTTAAAAATGTCCATCTTACCAGTCCCTCCCTGCTATGCCACTTTACAAAGGCCATGCAAAGACACCTTGGCTTCTGGCTGAAATTCAAGCTTCTGGAGATAGTGTTTCTTTTTCAGGCTGTGTGAACTTGGAAATGAGCAAGTTTCTCAGTATTGTTGCCAAGAGAAAAAACAAAAAACAAAGCAAAACAAAACAAAACCCAAACCTCTTTCTCTGTGGATGCTGAGAGGGCTGGGCCTCTCCTCAGTGGGGGTGGGAGGTGCTCACAGAACCATGCCAAGCACCAGTCACTGTACAGCGTCTGTTTTATTTTGTGTGCTTTTTTTTATAGGATATAAATAATGACAAAAATTACAAAATGTATAACTGGAAGCCTAAGCTTATTTACACACACGCTTGTGTTTCAGCAAAGCTACCGGCTGCTTTGTTCCTATACAGGTTCCTTTTGGTACCATAGTTTAGTGTTATTTTTCCTCTCAGTTTACTACATACATATCAACAATGAATAGGCAAAGTATATACAAGGAACTATTCAGTTCAAGTAATTTAATATTGTATTAAAATTCTCCAACACTGAACTAAAACCGTATACATTTGTCAGTTGAGATGAAATTTAATTTTTCTTCAAAACTCACCAACTGATGAATGTGATAATCTCAGGTTTAAAATAATGTTGGTTAATAAAAAAACATTAAGACAAGTTCACAATTTATCAATATCGCTATAATGAACTTCAAAATGATTCACAATATGATTGGTTAGAACAATATACATTAAAATGTTATTTTTCTATAATGATATTGGTACTGTTTATATAATTTGATTCTACAGAAATATACATTATGGTATCATACAAATATTCCACATAGACATTTAAAAAATTAAAATACCTTAAAGAAACGTAAGTAAATTTATTTAATCAAATAGTAAGCAAACATCTTCTTAATCTGTTTCAAGAAAAGTTTTTATTACTTTGGAATTTCTTCTTTTTTTGTGTTATTTATTTTTTATATAAAAGAATTTTGCAATAGAATTTTATTAACACCGTCCTTAAGCAAGGTTTCCATTACAGAAATCTTGACAGCAGGAGCCCTAGATTATATTTTTTGTTAAACATGTTCTTTAAAACACTCCAAAGGCTAAAACAAAACAAAACAAAACAACCCAAAAAAAAAAAAAAAACAACCCAAAAAAAAAACTTGCGCAGGCTATGGCTGAGTCATCGCTTGGGTCAGGCTGAGCGCTAGCCTGTTCTGCGCTTGAGGAGGGGCTGGCGGCAGGGTTTCACCACAGCTGAGCCAGGGCCTCAGGGCGAGCAACAGTCGAGATGTAGCCATTTGAAATGGAACCAGATACATCTCGCACAACAAACCTAGTTTTCTTATGAATGCATTAATGAAACACTCTTTTAATAAAAATATTTAATACAAGACACATTTTTCTGTGCATAATAAATTCCTCTGTTTTAAATCACTTTTTTTTAAAATTTTTGAATCATTCAATAAAGGTTTCCTTTATCTGACATAGTTGATTACATATAAAATCCACAAATATAGAAATCGGGGGAGGGGGGCAGAATTTTCCTGGCGAGCGTGAGGCTTGCTCTGTCTTTTTGCATGAAACTGTACTGTGACACGGAGGATTTTACAGGTGCTCTGGGGTGGGGCGGGCTAGCAGGACCGGTCTGACCTCCCCCTTCCAAACGGCTGACGCTGACGGTGGAAACAACCCCAGCTGTGGAGGCTCTTGGGCCGCAGGGGAGCCCCGGCCGCCCCAGCCCGCCCCCTGCGGAGGGCGCCCTCCCCAGCTAAAGCAAAGCAAGCGCGGGGCGGGTGAGCGGTACCTCGGGGGCGGCGGGGGCGGGTCGGGGCGCCCCGCGGGCCCCCGCGCCTCTAAGGGGCGGCAGAGTCTCGCTGGCAGAAAGCTCCCTGGGGGCGGCCGGCGGCCTTCCGCCCGTGACGAGGCCACGCGAGCCGAGCGGTCTTCCTCCCGGGCGGGTGGACACGGAGGCGCGAAGGTAAAGCCTGCTGCGGGGACTGCTTGGCGAGCAAGGCACCGCGAGGACGGGGCGGCGAGTATCAGAAAATCGTGGTTTCATACTTGGTATTAATGCCCCTCTTGGCTTCTTGCCCCGGCTCCACAATCCACGGCAGATTGGCCAGAGTCTTTTGCTCAGAAGGGTCGATCTGCTTTAAAACAGAAAGGCTGATGCCCGTTATCCGGCAGCTGCGCGGCGGCGCGGCCGCGTGGGCGCCGCTGGAACCCCACCTCGGGCCCCGCTCGCCCAGCCGCGCTGCGGTGCGGACCCGGCGTTCGCGCTTTCGCACCTGTACTGCACAGCGACTCTGCAGGGGCCTGCAAGGGTGACGCGAGTGAGACCCGGCCCCGCCCCCAGGGCTCAGGCATGGGGCCCAAGGAATCCTAAATCCTCACGAGGACCCTGCGGAGCCCACCCGCTTGCCTGCTGCCTTTCTAAGCTCCAGCCTTGTCTCCCCGAAGCTGGCACCCATGCCTGCTGTGCCCCGTTGGCTCCCGGGTGGTCCAGGGCTTGGCTCCAACACTGCTTCCTCTCCTAGAAGCTGTACCTGCCACACCCTCTACAAAATGGCACCTCAACTTGTCTGCTTCCCCCTTCCCCTCTCTGACACATACACCGACAGACCTCGTTTGCCACAATGGCTGCCCATAAAGGTGGGGTTTTAGCTTTCCTGTATTGCTCTTTTCTCCAAACCTGGGAAGGAACCTCCTAGCAGCCGAATGCAAAGTAGGCATGCTATAAATACTTGTGCAGTTGATAAATACTGTTAGGGCAATTGAGTGGTCGGCCCGGATAAAAAAGGTGCTGGCGAGGATAGAAGGCAGGTACAGATCCCAGAGGGAGGGGGCAGTGGCAGAGAGACAGAGTGGGATGGACCAGCAGCAGAGGAGGAAAGGGGTCAGCAGGAGCCTGTCAGGCTGGGCCTTGGTAGACTCAGACGATGCTCACAGGGAGCCCCACACATCATTCCCTGGGCAGTAGCTAAGGTCTGAGGCCTGGCAGGCCTCAGTTAAGCTTTTCTCCCAATAGCTCTCTCATCCTTTGGCCATCTACTTTGCTCGGTAAACTGGGCCAAGGAATTTCTGGAAGGCCTGTGCCGTCTTGCTCTACCAGCTTTTTAGGCTGCTGCAGGCTGCAGGGCCTGTGCCTCTGCGCCTATCGGGCTGCCTTCTGCTGTGTTTCCACTGTGTCCCCATAGGCCAAGAAAAGGACATTCAAGGAGCACTGTGTGTCTCCTCACAGTAAGCCACGAGAGCTGAGGAACTGGGAATACTGAAGCCTGCTGAGGAGCTGGATCCTGAGCCAGGTAAAGACATTGGCATCATCCACTGTGCACTGCCCTGTTTCCCAGAGAGGGCATCTAGACGGATATTCTATGAGCCCTAAGGGCAACAAACCCTTCGTGCTCTTCTGGAAGGAGTCTATGCGGAGCACGGTAAAGCTGGAAGGAGGCTTGCGCAGTGGGCATGGGAGGGAACATAGTAGTCTGAGCGACACCCCCTCCCCCAGACATGCTGCGCATTCCCGGTCACTCTGAAGCCTGACCACACTCAGAGACGCATCCGTTAAACCCACCCTCCAGACCTCATTTCTTTAAGCGCAGATTGGTGATATAAGCATGCTATGGGCCTGGCCCTGAGGTGACAGCATGCTCGTGCACTTCATGAAGCAGATACTTTTTGAGGAGGAAGAAATAAGTGGTAAGTGAGCAGCTCAGTAAATACTACACATAGTGAAAGAAAGGCTACAGCGTGAGCAGGGATCTACCGTTGTCAGGAAGTGCTTCGTGCAGCTGAGACCTGAATTGATATCACGGATTGGGCCATGCAGAGGTCAGGGGTCGGGAAAGGTGGAAAATGACACTCCTGGGGTAGGAAAAGGTGGAACAGACTCAAGTAGGACTGAGCAGTGTACATACTCAAGGAATGGGGAGGCCTGGGCATCAGGGAGTGTGTGAGAAATTAGGTTTTGGTGTCTGTAGGGTACCACGACCTCTGCCGTGTGGAGAAAGGAAGTCACCGGGAGGGGTGTGGCGAAGTCACCAAGAGCAGAGACTGGAGAGGAGCCCCGCATTATCATCAAGGAAGGAACCTTTCTCTGAAGGTTAAAAATGTCTATTTCCTCATTGACGCAGAGGCTGAGAGCTGCTGGGAGGAGGAGAATGTAGCAGATGGAAAGATTGCGGGGTGAGGGGGGCAATGCATTCTGGGGGCCTGCCCGGTGCCAATCCCAGAGAGTCTAGGATGCAGGAGGGTAGCTGGAGCAGAAAGCAGATGGGAAGCTGGCTGGGAACCTTCCAGCTTTGGGGTGTTGCTACTACCAGAGGCGTGCGCTTTGAAGTCATACCAGCCTGTTGGGACAGGATGTCTGCGGAGCCTGTGGGAGGAGGGAAGGGAGGAAGTTCCTGGAGGGAGGCATGACTGGGAGGAGGGCTATCTACCACCTTCTAACAGTTCCGAGGCTGCAGAGAGGCTGTCCAGCAGGAAGGCACCCAGCCTGGGGACCGGGCATCTCGAAGAGGATGCCTTGGCCTCCCCCCAGAAAGACACGCAAGCTATGGCACCTGGCTTTGGCCAGGAGGGTGCTGCAAATCTTTCTGGAGGGCAGAGGTGTGTGCCCTGACAGAATGGCCAGCGAGGCCTCAGAGAAGGTTGCCCCCAAACTTTTCTAGACCTTCTGGTGAGATGTGTTTCAAACAGAAGCAGCGGCTAGCATTCTGCTCTCGCAAGGCTGTTACTGCAGGTGGCAGAGAAAAATGGGATTTTCTCTGGTACCTTTGGGTTTGGGGAGAGGTTTCTTCGAGACTGCAAAAACCAGGCTAAGGATGATGGTCACATGCCAGCAGAAGACCAAGGGGAAGGATAGAAGAGGCAGGCTGGATTCTAACGGCAGCCCGCCTCTCTGTGTGCAACCCCCTTCCCTCTGGTTGCAGGCTTAGAGATGCCTCTCTCTTCTACTTACCACTGACTTTCGGATGCTAACGCGGGGCTTTGGGATGGGTTTGGAGGGCTTGTTTTCAAAGCTTTCTGGAAGTGTGGAGGAATGCCCCCCTTTTCTTGCTTGTAGAGCTAGCTGGTAAGCGACCTCAAATGCCTGTCCCAGTGTTAGGATGATTTCATAGGCTAAATTCTGCAAGAAAAACAGACAATAAAAGCACTTCCTACTGGCACACAGCGGCTCAGAATGAATGGATGGCTGAGGAACAGGGTAGGACAGGAGCTAGTGTGGACCTTGAACTACTTCACCTGCAGCTGCTATGACTGAGAGAAAATCTGTGTAAGAACAGGGTGTTCTGGGCACTAGTCAAGGGGTAGCATCTTGTGTAGAACCATACTGCAGGGCCTCCTCCATTACTGTCTGATAAACAGAGTCCCCATGCAGCCCACCAGCCCCAGGCGCAGCTCCCCGTGGGTGGCTTGCTGCGCTCATGAGGACTTGGAGGGGAAAGGGGTTAGAGGAGATGTCTTCACTGTGTTTGGAGCACCTCCATCACGCCTGCCCACAGATGATCCCACACGCTCTATGGGAAGTGTTCCTGAGAATTTGGGGTCTCTTTACCTCGAACATCTGTGATTCAGTGAATATATATGAAACACCATCACAATCTAATTTAGGCCGAGGGAGAGGCATTAGTCACGCGGTGTGGAGCCTCACAGTTGCAACAGTGAGCATGCAAACATTGTTCAAACAGATCCAATTATCTATTTCTTGAGGGTTTTGCACTTCCGAAGGGTTCACACTCTATATATTATCATCAAATCACCAAGAGACAAGAGAGTGTCAGGCTAGGATGCCATACCAGACCGCTCCTGGGACGTGCGTTCTCTTCTCTGACCAGCTCTCTCAGGGGCATTCCTGCCCTTCTTCCCATCCTTGCTTTTGATTTCTGTTTCCTTCCCATGTGCTTCCCCTTTATCTTCTCTCCCAGGGACAACATGACATTAGTCTGCTCAAAGGCTGGATCTGAGCCACAACACCCATAGGTCAAAATGCATCCTAGAAGTGGGTGTTTGGGGACTGTACCTGTGGCGTCATGCATGCGTAGCCAATGCCCTCCACTGAGCCGCATGGCCAGCCTGAGAATGTTCTCCACGCTGCTTGCACCAGCTGAGGGCAGCCTCCATCTGTCTCAAGTTTGTCATTCTGTCACTGTCCCTACAGTGTTTCTCTATGGTTTTTCAAAACTGCAGCCAACATTCTGCTTCTGCTGAAGGAACACTGCGTCTTGCTGTTCTTACTCCCCTCCCCTCCTTCCCAGCATGCTTCCAGAAGTGTTAGGGAATGCTGCTCTCCTCAGCTTTCAGTGAGGATGGACAGCATGGGATGGCCTTCCAAGACCACAAAGGAGAGATGTACCAAGTCTGGACCAACTGGACTGTAGGTCAAAGTTGTGTCAAGTTTTATGGTCTTAGAACCAAGTGGGGCAAAGCCTATGATTTTGAGCTGGTGTGACAGTCAATCTTTGAGGTCCTATCTGATGGACATTTGATCCTGTGATCCTGTCCCTTACACAGCTAGGCTACGCCCTTCCCCAAAGTGAACACTAAGTCATGTTTGCCTCCACAGATGAGTCAGACAAGTAAATTAGCAACACAGCAACAAATGATGGTGGAGGAGGACTGGGAGGCAGCTCTGACCATCACTGCACGAAGAGGGCTGAGCCCTTCCCTCCGCCTACACTCGGTACATACGCCATTGTCAGCTTTGCCGCAGTGCTGGTGGCGGGCATAGGGGCACTGTCTGGGGACTTCTGACTTCCTTGGTGTCAGGAGGATGTGGTCCTTGGCCCTGGCCACCCTCTTTCCGTGAAGCAGAGTGCAAATTCCTTCATCATTAGCCTCAGACCAGTTCCTGAGAGTGAGAGCTGTGTAAGATGACAGAGTCTCCGGATAGGAGTCAAAGCTGCTCCTTTGAGCATCTGAGGCCGTCTCATGGTTACTACAGGTTACTATGGGAAGTGGAAAGCTTCTGCATGATGAAAGGTTCCATGCTCTGCCCATTGCTTTTAGCTGAGTGCCCAGCATTAGGAAACTCCTCGAGGAAGAGAGGGAGACCAGACCACCCAGCCCTCAACTGGCTATGAACTTGCAGCAGTCACCCTGCCTCAGCCTTCCCAGAGCTGGGATCATGGGTGCCTGGCTCTTTTCCTGTTTTGGTTTTTTGAGACAGGGTTTCTTGGTTTAGCCCTGGCTGTCCTGGAACTAGCTCTGTAGACCAGGCTGTCCTTGAACTCACAGAGAGCTGCCTTCCCCTATCTCCTGCATGCTGGGATTTAAGGCGTTCGTTTTTAAAGAACACTTTATAATGTTCTTCTTTTGCGATTTAGGAAGAAGTAGATATTGTTACCTTTCCGTGTTTTCTGTAGCCTCAATGCTTGAAACATGGGTGGTGGGTGTGAGGGAGAGCCCCTGGGCACTGACAGCTGCAGTGAAAGCTGTACAGCCTGTTTCTGTACCAGGACCCAGCAGGGAACAGGTGCTGTCATGTAGGACCTGAGGACATGCTTTCACTCCTTCCTTCCTTTCTTCTTGCTGTCTTCCTCCTTCTTCCCTCTCTTCTCCCCCTTCCTTTTTTTCCTTCCAGGGATGGAACCCAGTGCCCAGGCAGGCAGATGCTCCACAATGGAGCCACACCCTCAACCTGAGGATATGTGTTCTAGAGTATTTGTTCCAGGGCCATTCCTCTGCCTCAGCTGTGTCATCCCCACTGTGCACAAAGCAAGGAGAATTGTTTTTCTGAGAGCTGGACACTGTAAGACCAGAATAGAAAACCATATTGCAGTAGGACTTAATTATACATTAAGGATATTCATTATATTAATATGCTAATTACCATGAGTAATGTAAAGGCAATTTTACGGTTGTATAGACTGGGAGGAGTCTCACAGCCTCTGCCTGGGCCTCTTGTAGCACTTGCCTGGGAGTCAGCACTGTGTGAAGTCTGAGCACTCTGAGGCAGCGGAAGGTGTTGCCTGATAAGGACTGAGGCTGGACCAGTCCAGCCACCTCACATTTCCCAGCCTAGCCCCTAGTGTGGGACTTACAGTGCCATCCAGCACACAGTATAAGGAGAAACCTCAAGGCCTAGGTAGAACGCAAGCTGAGCTATCCTGACATCTGTAACCATTCAAGCTGCCCCAAACTAAGACCCTCCTCCCCTCCCAGATACGGTGGAGCAAAGAGCAGAACCTCATACACTGTAGCAATCCTGTCCCCCTAGGAAAAGTCCTGGCACCCAGAAAACGGAACCTGTAATTAAGTGCTCTCTAGGAATTCTCCACTTAGTTTGAAAGTCTGTTAGGCTCAAGGGTCTAATGACATTGTGTCTAAGAGTATTCATTTCAATGTATAAAATTTCATGAACATCTCACAGAGCACACAGTGCCATGCAGTGGAATGCTGGGTAGCCACTTAAGATAAAAACCAAGTCACTGAAAAGAACTGGTTAAAAGGCTGTAAAAGCTGGGGCTGTTGGTGCACATCTGTAATCCTGAGTGCTGAGGAAACAGAAGCATGAAGATCCCAAGTTCTAGGACAGCCTAGGCTCTACAGTGCAAGTATGTGGAAATAAGTACATAGAAGACAGGTTTTCCAACAGCCTACACACTGGGAAAAGATCTTCACCAACCCTGCATCTCACAGAAGGCTAATAGCCAGAAGATACAAAGAACTGAAGAAGTTAAACACCAACAAACCAAGTAATCCAATTAAAAAATGGGGTACAGAGCTAACCAGAGAATTCTCAACAGAGGAATATCAAATGGCAGAGAAACACTTAAAGAAATGTTCAACACCCTTAGTCATTAGGGAAATGCAAATCAAAATGACCCTGAGATTTCACCTCACACCCATCAGAATGGCTAAGATACAAAACTCAAGGGATGATGCATGCTGGAGAGGATGTGGAGAAAGGAGAACCCTCCTCCATTGCTGGTGGAAATGCAACCTTGTACAACCATGTTGGTAATCAATCTGGTGCTTTCTCAGAAAATTAGGAATAGTGCTACCTCAAGATCTAGCTATACCGCTCCTAGGCATATACCTAAAAGGTGCCCCACTAATAAGGACATTAGCTTAACTATATTCATAAGAGCTTTATTTGTAATAGCCAGAATTTGGAAACAACCTAGATGTCCCTCAGTGGAGGAATGGATACAGAAAGTGTGGTACATTTACACAATGGAATACTACTCAGCAATTAAAAGCAAGGAAACCATGAAATTTGCAGGCGAACTAGAAAAGATCATCCTGAGTGAGGTATCCCAGAAACAGAAGGACACACATGATATATACTCATAAGTGGATGTTAGCTATATAATATAGAATAAACATACTAAAATCTATAGCCCTAAAGAAGCTAAACAACAAGGAGAATCCTAGGGAAGATGCTTAATTCTCATTCAGAAGGGCAAACAGGATAGACACCAGAAGTAAGAGAAGACAAGAAACAGTACAGGAGCCTTCCACAGAGGACCTCTGAAAGACTCTACCTACCAGGATATTGAAGGAGATACTGAGACTCACAGCCAAACTTTGGGCAGAGTGCTGGAATCCTATGGAAGAAGAGGGAGATAGAAAGACCTGGAGGAGACAGGAACTTCATAAGGAGAACAACAGAGCCAAAACACCTGGGACAAGGGGATCCTGCAGAGACCAATACTCCAACTAAGGACAATGTATGGAGAGGACCTAGATCCCCTGTTCAAAGGAAGCTCATTGGCTGCTCAGTTTCCAAGTGGGTTCCCTAGTAAGGGGTACACGGGCTGTCTCTGGCATGAACTCAGTGGCAGGCTCTCTGATCATCTCCCCTTGGTGGGGTGCAGCCTTGTCAGCCCACAGAGGAAGACAATGCAGCCAGCTCTGATGAGACCTGATAGGTTAGAGTCAAATAGAAGGGGAGGAGGACTTCCCCTATCAGTGGTCTAGGGAAACAGCATAGGGGGAGAAGAGGGAGGGGGAGGGAGGGTGGGAATGAAAGGAGATGGGGGAGGGGGCTGTAGTGGGGATACAAAGTGAATAAATTGTAATAAATAAATATATAAATAAAATTTAAAAACAATAAATAAAAACAAAAAAATGAAAAATAAAGATTGAACAAAGCTAAAATAAAAAAAGAAAACAGGTTTTTCA